AGTACTGCGTAGCTACAAGGTCTGTTATGGGAAAAAATAAGGGTTAGATTTCCAAGTACATTCAGGTACCTCATGTTACAGACAGCAGGATTCTTTAAAAGCCCCTACAAATCTGATGGCCTCTGAAATCAGAAACACTACTGAAATCAAATGAAAGTTTGGCACAGAAAAGCTTAAAAACTCACTATATGCCTGATATTTTTAGGGTCTGCTACATCCTTAAAAATATGCTGCCTAGTTTCTTCCAGGTTTAGAAGCTGAAGACTCCAGGTGTCTCAGACACAAGATACCTAAAACAATTCTGATGTGATCCCATTATCTGTGTGGAGTAAAACCTGGTTGTTACATACACACTGACCATGTAAAGATGAGAGACAGACAGAGAGGTAGACACTGTATTGAAACAGGCACCATACCTAAAGCTTGCAAGTATCTTATGCATCCAGCCACTATCTCAATTAGGAACTGCAATAACATAAAATAACAATTTCTTTCCTTAGTATTTTCAATACGTTCACATAATGCTATCTCAAATTTTAAATAAAGCTTTTTTTTTTTTAAAGGGAACATGACTCAGAATGAAAACAGGAGATGTGGAATGCAGCAAAGCTTGTGAATGCCATGCAAAGTTGCCTATCAACCAAGTGCTGAGAAGTCTTGAGAAGTTCTTACCAGCAGAACTTCACTTGAAATTCACGAAGGTGCATAAAAAGAGTGAGACATACCCATGGTGGTCCTACAGGTGTTACATTAACATCTTTTAAATTAGCGAGTTCCACTTTGGTGATGGGATAGCAACATAAGCCCAAAAAAAGGAGTCCTAAAGAGAAAGATTTTCCCCCTGCCTCCCAAGAGCATTTTTTCTTTCCTTTGCAACTGAGATGTGAAAAATCCAAAATACAAAGACACCATGTTTTAAATTGGGAGTGAAATCTGCAGCCATAAGGAAAACTGGGAGGTAGGAGTGTATGCAAGAGAGCATATTTACATTTACCTTACAACCTAGTTGATGAGCCATCCTGAAAGCAGACTACGGCTCGAAGAATGGAAGGGCATAGCCTCTTAAAGAAATAATTTGTATAGATGGAACATCACTCCTATAAAACAATTGCTATATCCCAAGACAACTTTTATTAAGAAGTACCAACAACATTAATGCTTAGCAGGTAAACTAATTTGCACATAAAGCGATAAATTATTAAATCTGCTTCCACAAAATAGCATTTCGTGAAAAATATTTTGATATTTGTAGCATTTAAAACATTTTCATTAATTTCAAACTGTAAGCTCTGTAGACAAGGACACATTTCCTATTTCCCCAAAAACATGCTACATACATCTAGTTTCCTATATACATAACAAAGAAATTTAATAATTACTTAATTATTCATCACTTGTTAAATTGGTTAAAATACAATTTACAGCGGCACAAGGATAAAGGTAACAACAAATTTTCCTCAGCCAACCATATTTGACCATACTCAATGTACATAAAGGGACAGATCACAGAAGCTATATTAATGTAATGCAAAAATATATGCATAAAAGCTCAGATTCTCACCTGTTATAAAGCAGTATGTGTGTATGTATGTGTATGCACACATGCATGCTTACACTGGGTGCAGATATGATCCAAAATTCTCTATCAAGATGGACTCTCTGATTACCACAGGAACAGAATATGTTTAAGCGCAAGATAAGAAACAACTCGATCTGCATTCATTTGCAGTTGTCACCCTCACCATAATTGAGCTGAGAATGAGACCTGGCATATTTCAAGCAGTAATAAAATCAAAAGGAAACCAACTGTCTCCAGTATCCTCGAGGACGGCTTTTAAAACCCAAGGCTTCCAACCACTAACATGCCTTACGTAACTGGTCAGATTAGAAATAACCAATGCAGTGAGCAGCATTCTTGGGTTGTGACTAGCCCTATGAAACACCTAACACTGAATAAGTTGTCTTAATGAGTCACTGGAGTATTCTACCGTAAAAAAAAGATAGTCTAAAGAAAAAGAGATGTAAAGCAATTTCTTCTGTGGGAAAATGAAAGCTTTATAATGGAAACAAAAAAAGATCAGTTAGATGTTTGTGGAAGAAAGAATGGCCTGAACCCAAAACATTATCAAGTCTTAAGAACACTGTCAACAGACTTCGCTGGTGTCATCACTTAGCTACCTTGACCAGTCCAAGCAAGTACAACTCGCAATCATTCTCACTGAAGTGACAGACACGACATGACGATTATGAATGACATTTTGCTGGCCTATAGTATTCACCAAACCATTGGTTCCCAAAACATAGTCATCAGTGCTATCAGTAAAATCCATAAGATCTGATTTGTGAAGCCATATCTCTGCACTATTTTCAGTAAAAGTTTGATCATAGAGGTCATCATGAGACCTCTGCCTCAGCAGTTCGGCAACCTCTATCATTCACAGCTAAGAGCCGAGTAAGACTAGTCTGACAAATACAAAAAACCCCCAAACCTAAAATGCTAAGGGGGGAGAGTAGGCAAACAGAGCATAGAAGGGGAACAGAAATTTTAATAAAGTTTAACATAAGTCATTTGATATTAGAAAGAAAAAAAATAGCTGATGGGCAAAAGACAGGAAAAAAAGGAAAACCATCAAAAAAAAGTGGTATTACAGAGCACAAAGCTAGGAACACAGGCACAGCTCCATAACCTTATGCTTTAGAAACTATAATGCTGTTTTGTGGTGTTATAATATGATGTTGACAGTAAAATGTCACTAAAGCAAAAATGCAAAAATTTGTGGGCTTTGTGTCCTTTTTCAGAAATAGTCTAGTCTCATGAGAAACAAGTGAAAGAACAAGGAGATTTGTTACACAGGGTTTCAACATGAAATACGGTCACAAATATTTCCTTGTTCCACAGCTGTCAAACAGCAGTTTACTGTATCAGCATTACTGTCAAAAAGGGAATATAATACACAACAGCAGCCAGTAAAGTTTATGTAGCTAAAACACTACAGCAAATCAGTCCTACAAATAGCGATAAAACTGTATTCTACATGTACTTCACTGGTATAATTATATTATAATGATATTGTGGTATAAAGTTTTGTGGAATAATAGTTTCAAATCAGGAGAAGAGTAGATCTTACATATCACCCTACACTAATACAGAAAAAAAAAATGCTGCACTATCACATATTTAATGTGACTGCAGCATTATTTTCAAAATACTAGCAAGAATTTTTAACATACATATATTTGAACTACCTTCTCTTATACAGGGAAAAACAATTTAGAGATTACTTGAAAGAAAAGACAACAGCTTTTCAAATTCCTGGTATATCACTTCTGCTCTGATAAAGTCTGCACAGCTCTGCAGGTAAAGCACCTAGCTGCTATATTATTTTTCAGATCTATTACCTCAGGAAACTGAGAGTATAAGCAGTCCTGTAGCTCTGAATGCATCATTACTCCCAATAATTGTGCCTTCTCCATAAATTGCTTTTTCTGGAAGGTAAAATATTTAGAACACTATTGATCCATAGTTCTCTCACCCGTGGAGACTCCCTGTTCCCCATTTCGAAACGTAACCAATGCCACCAGGAGGAGCTTTATTGCACCAATTCCAAACCCAAGGCTGCCTGCGTTCTCTGAAGGAGGTTTGTCTTAGCACAACTATCATGGCAGTCTGACTCATGGAAATGATAGGACAAAAGCCATGCAACACCCCCCATCTTCAAGTGTCAAACGAGGCAGTAATTTCAACAATTAAAATTGTAAGTATGCAGTTAGTATGTGCCAGAGCTACTTAAAAGGAGATAAGCTTAGACAGAACAACTGCTGTAGTATCACTTCTGCACAAGTAACTAGGATGCGGAGAGAGGTGGGTAAAAAAAAAATTTAAAAATTTACACTTCATACTTCCCCGAATGTTAATGCAAAGAACAGTGTGTTAATTTTCTTTACATCCTAAAAAGCTTTGAGGACAAATTTACCTTAAACTTCTTCCATTCACGGGTGTATTATATCCCTTATTATGTCTACAACCTCAGTGGCAAGTGTGAAACAGAGGCAGAGAGAATTAGCTGAAAAGCTGTAAGTTGTGCGGGAGGTCATTTCCATGAGTTACGGCTCGTAAACATGAACTGACAAGCTTCCCCAAGTCATCTTAACACACAGTCATGCAGGAAAACTTTCCACAAAGCACTTTATTACTGAAGATCTCAGTGACCAAATCTTTGGCTACAGTATGCCAACATAGCTTCACTGACTTTGACACAGTTCCTCCTACTGATGCCAGTGAAGCATCTGCCTCTCTGGGTGTCAGTTTGAATCTTCTGTAGTAAACCATGCCTCATCTACTCACTCATTCCTAGCTGGTGCTCAGCAACTTGTAATACAAACCCAGGGCAATTAGAGCATGTGTGTGTGTCTGTATACGCAGATCAACAGTCAAACTCGCTCCACTCTTTACAGACTCATCAGCATGAGAGACCGTGGGGATATTTCCCCACTTCATTCCATTAGAAACCACTTCTGGAAGAAGTCATGGCTGCAACTCCCCCATCTCATTAGCACTGTAAAATGTTAGTGCAATTTGTTTTCCTGTACTGATGAATACATTGGCAACTGGATTTGAAACCTGCACTTTAATGTCAACTACCATGAAAAAAAAACTTGCACTAACACATAAAGGACCTATTTTTAAAATTCATAGCAGTAATTGCAGAATTCATTTAACTAAAGAAACTCTTGAATGGCCATGATTATCTTAAAGAATCTACTTAGATGATCTTAAAGAATTCGCATGGATAGAAGAACATTGGAGTTTATATTTTCATTTTTTTCTTTTTCCTAAGTGTTAGATATCTAGTCTGTGTATAATTTCATCAATTACGCAAGCAACACACTAAATACTACCCCAGAGGTGACAAATTACTGGACAGATGAGTCCACTATAAATTAATCACTGTAGTTTAGTTACAACAAGTGAAAATTTAAACGCACTTCATCTCTCTCACCTCAATGGTGGGTGGATCATTTCTTTTTTTTCTTATCCATGCTGCAAAAGGAAAAAAAAAATCAAATGGATTATTTCAAAGACAACAAAGCGTACTGAAACTCAAAATTACGATTAGTTTGGAAGAGAAAGCAAATGTTTATACGAAAAGTTACAATAGAATTTTCACAACCTGGCAAGCCATATCATTTTCCAAAATACAAAGACCCAAGATGTCATTTTCCATGTCAATACTCTCCGTCTTCACAGAAGGGAGGGAGGAGAAAAAAAAACAAACAAAACACCTCTGTTAGGGGAGAGTTTGGGCAGAATTTACGTATCACCCTGGTTGCTGAAACAGGGCTTAAAAATCAGGGCTCGCAGCCCAGGCCTGTTGTTGAGCTTGCTACACAGAGCTCAGCTTTGCCCCGAGAAAATGACAACATGACTGCTGAAAAGTACGAAGAGCCTCACACCACTCCATAGAAAAAGGATTCCTGTATATGCCCCAGGTATTGTTAAAGCCAAAAACCTATTTATGTTAGTGGCAACTAGAATTCCTTTACAGGGATGCAAGATACAGCCCCAAAACTGACTGCACCATGTCCTACCGAGAGAAGGCTCTCTCCACCTCACTCAATTAATGCAGGAAAAGACATCAGAGGAACGGAAGCGGTGGCAACAACAACTGTCCTGTGGCTTGGGTTTTCCATGATGAATCCAGGTCAACAGACTGATGATTGGCGTGGGGCTGACTGGAGGCGGCAACCCAAAGGGACCCTACTGCAGACGGAGAAGCGGTGCTCTGCCGGATCTTGCTGCATTCAGTCATCGAATTATTAGAGACAGCTCCAACTACTACAGGCAGTATTTAGACAAGTTACCTGACTGTGGACAAGGCAATATCCATCTCTCTTTAAAAGCATCACTACCCTAGCATTTTCCCATGCTTTTTCAATCCACACAATTTATAGGTACTGAGTTGCGTATTTTGTAGACATTTGTCTTTCCTGCTCATATATTTCAAATGAATGAGTAGCAGAATGCAAGTGGCCAGTAATGAACAGAAGGACAAACATAAGGAAAGCCAGTTCCAAGTGCCGATACACAGCAAAATGCTCTTTTGTATGTTTGTTTGGACAATTAAGACTTCTGTTGCTGTGCTTGAAAATTGTAGAGCAAAAGTTACATTTTCATTATCATCCAGTCAAATTCCTGGTCTGACCTGTAGCTGTCTATAAAGTTTCAGAAATGCTTTAAGAAGGAACTGCCCCATATTTGAATTTTTTAATACCATCTGTGCTGTATTTTGAGGGGAACTGGGGAATGAGTCAGATAGCAAGTTCAAAACACTAAAAGCTGCAGAGAGTCATACTGTCATTATGAAACTGGTTTTAGGCGGAATAGCTTCCAATTAACTTAAGAATGGAATTAAGGGAGGCAAAATGGCATTACATAGCTTGGAATTTAGCCACGCTGGAATGGCCAACAGCCTTAACTCAAGGTTAATGGTAAAATACCTGTAATGATACAGAGCAAGGTATTACTTCTGGTTCTTGTCTAGCAGATGACACTTTCTGAAGATGTATTCTTTTAAATACCATTCTGAAACATCTTTTCTTAAAAGCAGTCTCTGTCAGCTCTTCTCAGAGGTCTTTTGGTCCTAACAAAGATCAGACCCAAATTTGCCATTGTGGAGAAGTGACTGAGCACTGAATAGTCAACATCATCCTTTCTGCAAAAGTTTTATGTTAGTGGAAAGAAAAACAGCCCATTAAGGTAAACCGAAATAAAACTAAATGACTTTCTATTGAATCTGTAGGCTAGAAAACATTTTGCATGTACCTGTAGCACTTTCAAACATTTAAATTTTACCAGGATTTCCAAATGCAAAATCTGGCAAGATCAGAGACTAAACTGGCATGACTGAGACTGGCACTTCTCAGCTGGCAGCCTTGCAGGCAACTCTTTGTGAAAGGACCAATGAAGCTGTTAGAGAAAATCACAGCACACAGGCCTTTCCTCCTGACAGAAGTCATCTTTGTCTGCACTGAACAACAGTTCCAACATCACCCAGAAAAGCAAGAAAGTGGTAGAGGTATCAGGTCTAGCAAAGTTTGTACACTAAACACTAACTGATAAAAGATACAACTGGAGAAAAAAGGAAATGTAGTAGTTTAAAATGTTTCATAAAAAATTAAATTTTAAAACCTTCAAAATTTAATGCATTACTTTCAAAAAAGTATCATCTTCTGCCTTGCCATGCCTTGCTTCTGTCACATGGACGTACAGTACCACTGGTTTCAACTCCACAGCTCTCGGCACCTAAAAATAACTGCAATTTTTTGAAATTGCCAGTATTTTCTTAAAACACCAGCTGCATTTTAACTTGAACTGATTACAATTAGTAATTCTTAAAAAAAAATTATTAAAAAGCAAAATCCTACAAAAACTAAATTGAAGTTAGAAACTACTGCTGAAATATAACGATTACAATAGATTTTTCTTTCAATAGCAGATGGGACTTTTAGGCAGTTACTTGATTAATGATTTTCAGATGAATGGAATACTTCTATTAAAATATTTTATCATTTAATTATCTGCCTCCGTTTAACAAGCCATAGACAGAACAGTGAAGGGTAACACAATGACACGTGCCTCATGAACAGAAGCTCTGAAGCAAGGAGCGTTATGCAACATGTTTTCATTCATTAATAGATCTCAATTAGTACCAACACTCAAACACAACAAAACAATCTTTAATTTAGGAAGATTTCTCATACCAAACTTCCCATTATAAGACCATATCTAATTAAATACACAAACAATGGACACAGTTACAACATTATGCTATTTTTCCTTCCGGCTATAACAAGCATTTGAATGCATGGTTTTGTAGGAGCTATCAACCTTCCTTCTTTCTAATAAGTGTCACGACTACGATTTTTTTTCAGTTTAACCCTAAATAAGACTTTCTGACACAAAGCCTTGATATCTTTTTCCAAATCACTACAGGTAAACTCATTTCAACATTTCTAATGAGCTTCACTAGAAAATCATTATTTAGTGAAAGATTCCTTCACTGTGATGTAGTTGAGGGAGAAATACAGTAACAAAATTTACTAAAATATCTTTACAGCCATAAGATGAAGTTAGTTAGCTTTAATATATAATAGTCCCTCCGTGTAAATCCATTTCTGAAATACTCTATAAGAAGAACAGGTCAATATATATTACAAGGTTAAAAGTAAAGAAAACATAATCTGAACTGAGTATATTTTAGTATATTGTACTTTACCATCTAATAGTTTTAACAGTCTTTCAAAAGCAATACGTTTTTCTAATAATTCACCTGACTTCTTAGGGGAGAAGAATGGAAGGACCCTAATATATTTAATTCCCACCAGTTTTCAGGTGGTTCTCTTTCAGACAGAAAATTTACAAAGCCTTTCAATTTTTTCTGAGGTATCAACAATATTTCGAACATCCAACATAATATTCAGAAAAACACCAACGCCTTGTAACTCTGGCATAAGAGAAATTCCTGGTAACAATTAAAGGAAGAATGAATGTATCCAAAAATATAACCAGCGATTTACTACTGAATTAGCACTAATTTTAACAAAATCCAAGTAAATGGTATCTTGAAATTAATACATTTTGAGTTCTCTTTGTCAAATACAGTCAGTGTATACCACTTAGCAACGGAAAAGCTCTCCACCTTTCCTTGCACCCTCCACTAAACTTTCAGTCAATGCAGGTTTAAATGACTGAACAGATTCATACCACAGTTAAATATTTGTTGATGGAGACAAGGCAGGGAGGTGCTTTATTACATGTTATTTGAACACAGTGTGCACACATGCATACACTTCATTAAAAAGTGTCCAGTGAAAAGGTTTCCACATGAACACTCCTGTTCTCTATAGCAACAAAACAAAATGCCCTCGCCATTGTCAACCAAGGTGTTTTAAACCTGGTAAGGTAGAGAAAGTAACATCTATGTACCGAGTGCAACCAAAACATACTTCCTTGCCCCCCAAAGGTTTAGCAAAATGAATCATTGCCTTCATTTCAAATTAATTATACTGCTGCTTCTAATTTTATCTGGATGGCACTGCTTGCATTCTGTACTCATTGCGATGCCACTTTTGTCTAAAAGGAATTTTGCAAGATAGCTGGACATTTCCTACCTTGACACCCTCGCATTCTTTCATCAGCACTCATTTGCATTCTCATTAGTATGCATGAGATTTTCATTGAACTTTAAGACTCCTACTGGCACATAACTGCACTGTAATGAGTGTAAAAGTGAGCATGCAAATTAAGACTCCCATTAATCACTAAATGCTACCAGGAAAGAAAAAAAAACAACAAACAAAACCCAAAAAAAACTAGGAGTAGATGGGCAATAAAATGCTGCATGAAGCATGCGATCTCATGAATCTCTATAGGTATGTAAAATTACTGATCTCCTCTCAGGAGTACTATTGACATGTCCCGAGGAGGTAAATTACACATTCTACAGCAGGTGAACATTCAGAAATAACATTGCAGAAAGGTTATCTGTTGTGTGCATCCATTTTGCCTGGGGAAAAAAGTACGACTTGCACTTTGTAGTAAAATACAAGAGACTTCATCTAAACAAAAACAGGTAATATTTGTATTGTGCACACGGATAATGGTTCTAAATTCAAAACTACCTTACAAAAGTAAACACACCATTGGTTTTTAAAATTAAAATAGACTTAATTTTCTGTGCACAAATAGCTGACACTAAGACTAAGGAGAACACAAGAAGTTATAATTCTATTCTTTTAACATTGAGCATGTTTCAGTTTTACAAAAGCCTTAATGGATATTCTGAACTATTATAAAAATCACAGGTCTGAGAACTTACAAAATTTAGTTCTGTGGAACACTTAAAACTAACATCTTCAGGAGAGAAATTCCAGGCAAACACTTCAAGAGTAAGCCCTCGGCCCTGTATTCAGTAAACCCTCAGGACTAAGACACAAACATTCTCTCTGTAGTCTGAAAAACAACTTGCACAGATTGCGTCTGTAATCCGGACGATCAGTGTAGCTGCTTGCTTTATAGCTTTCTACTTGGTCTCAGTTACCTTGTTACATGTTTATAACTTGATAAACACAGTGCCAAAATCAGCACCTTAGTTTACCAGCTGTCCAGGCTGAACACCTTAGATACACAATGAGATTTAACTCAGACCCTCTTCAAATTTCACTACAGCCTGCTCCCACTCCTTACACAACCCCTTGTCTCTGGCTTTGTGCAAGTTCTCCTCAGACAACTCATGTCCTTAAGTGCTTCCAGGGACAGTACTTTTATTCCTTTCAGTCACCAGAGTTTTCTTTTCTAGTCACATGAGGTAGGGAAACACGGGGAGGGAAAGGGTGCTGGAATGACGGCTTCTAAAGCAGGTGGCCATTAAAGATTATCCACAGGTGAAAAAAATGAGTTCTGGCAGAACAAAGACAGGACAGGCGAAACCAGCTCTGCAGATCCCAAGGAAAAGGAGAGGAAATAAGGCAACAGAAAATTTAGCACTCATACACAGGATTTGGAGAAAAGGCCCCTGGAGATGTAAGCATGTGCCCAGCAGACAGGATTTAGAATACTAAAAATCAAAAAAACTTAAAAGAGTAAAGTGAAAAGAGAAGTAAGAAATATTATACAGCCTTCTAACCTTATATTTATCTTCTGCTGTTCAGAGAAAAAAGCAAGTATTTCAGAAATTCTTCTGCAAAGTCTCGGATTATTTGCTGGAATGTTCAGCATCCACAATAGTACAAACTGTAAAGCGAACATCCACAGAAAGAATGCACCGGGAAATTTTCAAGAGTCTGGGCAGAAGGTACAGAGTGAAAGCTCAGCACAGGTCTTGTGGGTCTGGTAAATTTCTAGACCAATCTTAAAAGGCAAAAATAGGGACAAAATTGTAACGAGCCTTTCAGCAAAGCGTCTCTAAAAACTTGTATTAAACTGTTCCTACTCAGATAACTGGCATCTATGGTATTATCTGAACTCTTCACTTTTTCCATTCTTTCCCATTTCTTACTCACTGGGAATTTTTCATTTCACAGGTGGCAGAAAAGAATTAGTGATGAACCGAACTTCAGAGCATCCCACGTCCCCAGTTCACACCTCTATACATAGCAAAGGCACAGCAGTTCTCTGAATAGCCTCTATAGCCACAGCAGAAGTACCAGTTTGGGCTTTTTAAAATTATGTTATACTTTCACAAAACTGTTTGTTTGTAATCTTTAAATTGGCACTGGACAAAAAAGTACAGGTTAGCCTTTTTTGTGGAATTCCCATACTTTGTCTGTCAGAAACATGCACTACACATCCCTTCTGCTCTAGAAATGCCTATGGGAAAAAAAAGATGAATATATGTTTTCTTTCTGTTTCTAGAGAAAGCCAGTACTTATGAGGAAAAGACTGTTACCTATGTGCATACTGTAAATTTTTCTTTTCTCTGTGAATTCTTTCTATTTGGTGCTGGCAAAATCACAAAGAGAAAAAAGATGAGGAAGTTAAGCGTTAAAAGTGTAAACACAGCTCATAAAAATGGGACTGGCCAATTGTCTTTTCTTCTTTAAAACAAACCTGAATAAAATGCCTTGACTTGCAAAAGTGCATCTCAGGCTTGTCAGCTGCATCTTTTTAGGCAAGTCTATACTGCAGGGTACCTGACCCTTGACTCCAAGGACCCTGTGCTGCTGCTTGCCAAAAGCATCCCTTCCAACAGCTCTACCCCCCCCACACCACACTGTCAAGTCACACGGGTTTGTGAAGTTTGCTGACAAAAGATACACTGCAGGCTTACTAGTGCTACACCAATTCCAGCAGTCCTAACGAACAGGTTCATGCAGCAAGTCGGCTGAACCAGTCTAAGGCCCTTTGTCAAAAGGTGATTTGCCCACACCCATCCGCAACAGTCTGACTGTCCATGTAGTTTCCTGTTAATTCCAGCCACTTGCAGACAGAGACTACTGGATTGTATTTTTTGACTCTTACAAGGTATCAGCAGGTCTTAGATGAGAATTCATTCACAGCAGAGCAGAGTTACCTGAGGCTTTATATGTACTTCCCAGTGTTTGCAGTGCAGAGTGATTGCAGGACAGTCACACAGACCTAAGATGGCCAGCAGCGGCTGGAGAACTTTTGGATGAGGAAGTAGACCTTGAGGAAGTTGGATTAGGTAGATATTCATTCAAGCACCAGATGACTTCATAAGGACAAGCCTGCCAGGCTTCTGATCTCCTTCAGGAGATGGCTATCTCGGACTGACGAAGAACCAAGATTAAGACTTGCCAGCCAACTGTGGGTACTGCGGCAGTAGAAGACAGAAGCTGTTCATAGTATGCTTTTGCCACAGTTGGCAAATGCTGCTAATAGGGCTGAAACACTTCCAAGAACTTTTAGCTGTTAATATTAGCCTTAGCTGATCACAAAAAAAAAAAAATATCAGAGGAATCAGTGTAATGACAACGATAAAATGCAGGATGGGAACATTGATATTTCTCTACCAACTCCATGAAGGGATATAACGCGAACAAGTTTTTCTTTTAGCTCAGTATCATCAGAGGTGAGTGCAAAGGAAAGAGAATGAGGTAAAGCAAATATATTGCGGTATTTCCTCAAAACACACTGTAGCTTCCATTAATTTGCAGCTCACTGACAAATTAAACAACAGTAATGTCTGTGTATGAGAAGGATTTTTCTTCCATGGGTTCTTTAAATCACTTTTTGAACTCATGCAAACTTCCAGCAAGCAGAATATTCAATGACAAAGAATTCCACAGTTTAACTACACACTGCTTAAAACTTAAGTTCATTTACTTTAAACCTACTACGTTCTGGGAGTTGCCTAGATATTCTTCTCCCCAAAAAGCATACTGAATGACAGGCAGGCTATAACTACTATTTCATGAGTTCCTTGCTTATGCTATAGAATCCTGGATTTTAAGCCACATCTCACCCCACACATGGCTCGAGCTCCTATAGCCTAGAGGACCAACACACACTCCCTTCTCTGCTTTCTCTCATTCTCCAAGGGCAGCTCAGCTAATCCTAAGGAACTTCTCTACCATCCCTGAATTTCTTTCTATGTTCCAAATTTTCAGACAAAATTTTCATCTGTAGCAGTCAGAAAAAATGGTTAATTAATTGTTAATAGGTTCTCCAATTCCCTGCAAGACTGTGCAAGGAAGAGTCTAGGAAAACAAATACCATCATAAAAAAAAAAGCCCCATCACTCTGCCACCAATAATTCAGCTGACCTACAAATTAACACTCTACTGAGGGTATAAATTACAAAGTTTAACACATCTAGTTTTGATTATTCTATCAAATCCCCCTCAGGCACAAATATTTTCACATTTAATAGGAGCAAGTCATACAGGCTCTATTTACATTTTTTTAAAGTACTTATTTCCTAAACGTAATTTATGCTATTTGTAAACAGGTTACTTTAAGAATTCACAATAACTACGCAGTTAAACAAAAGCCTGCATTACTCAAAATGAAAGATAACAGACAACCTATTCACATAGCCCAGGCTTTCCATTAAAATTACTGAACCTACATTCAATGGTGAAATTATCTTGAAATAAAAACAAAATATTCAGGATTTACCTTCCCATTCCGTTGGAAAGTCACCCATTTCATACTGATATGCTTGACAATTTATTGCTTCTACAAATCTTCTTTCTGGTATATTCTGCCCTATAGCAAAAATAAATAAAAAAAAAGAAAAAAGAAAAAGTTGGTTAAAAGTATTTCTATTTAATATTTAAATTGCTTGTTTTGAAAGAACTGTTCTTATTCACACAAGTGCAATGACGTCTACAGGACAAAAATGACGGACTGAAATACTGAGAAAATTATTACCATCTAGATGTCAATTTGAAATGCTATGTGTTTCAGGAACTTTAAAAAAAGCTTGCATGCTCTATAGTTGACTTGGATTTTTAATGACAACCATATTTCAAGTGAATTTATCCATCTTAGTGTATCCCTCCCTTTGAGAATGCTTCTCTGAAGAACTGTCAATCAGTTTTCTATCAGCTATTTTTTCCTTCACCCGGATATCTTCCTCACCATTGCTGGTGAGGGATCAGAAACTCGACGCTGTTCCCAAGTCAAAAGCCAGCACTGAAAACTCTCTAATTAGCTTCGCAAAGCCGTCAGGCCACACCATCTCCAGTCACTGGCAACTGCTCTGTGCATGTAAGCCTTTACACATATGCTTGCGAACTGAGCATCTTCTGTGTTAAAAGAGCCAAAAAACAGTAGGTCCCTCTCTGACAGGGAAAATTCAGTATATTGAAAGTGGAGCCAGTGTGGAAAGTCTGGACCTACACCCACCCACATTTCCTACTACTGCCAAAGAGGCAGAATTAAGGTTCAACCGGTGATGCAGCACACAGCAGACCGACTGTCACATATCATTCTACTGTACAGAGAAAGAGTATTTTAATCTGCTTTTTAAATTAGCAGATACTGGAAAGATGTGCAAGTTCCCCATCCCTCACAGGGAAAAAAACCTAACAATACTCCCCAGGCTTCTTCCCCCAGCTTTTTCGCTTTCTGGTAGGCTGATACGGAGAAATTTGACATTTTGAGGAAACACAAAGAAATATATGCATGAAATATTTTCTTTCATAATGATGTGATTAATGCAGTTCACTCCTTTAGTATGCTTTCAATAAGTATTTCAAATGAAGTTGTTTTAAAACTGATAGCAGTCAGGAGTTACAATTCACCCATCCCTGGTTAATAGCTAAACTGCATACTAGTGCTCATTATTAAGCATTTAATACAGTAAAATAAGAACTTGTATAGAAACTGCAATTCCCTTTCTAAGTACTGTCTTTAGCTTTATAATATTTCTTTTTATTTTTAAGCAATACAACATTTTAACTGTTTCAGATATGCCATCAGGCAAAGAAAATAGTGTAGCATACTTTCATCTCCAAGATTAGATCTGTTTAATCACTGTTGAAACATATATCACTTATTTGTTTTACAAGTGCACAGTTCCTGTATGCCGATGATATTATACTTCATATACTTGCTTTAAAATAATTTCCTTTCAACAATACCATAGATAATTCCATTCCACAAACTCTTTATCTACAAAGCAAAACAAAAATACAGAATTACTTTCTTCCCACATAGAAGATATGCAGAAAAGCTGAAGGCCTATCTAATTAGGTCTGATCCCATATAAGTCTCAGAATTAACATTCTTCTCCATTGTTGGAAAGTCACTAGATTTTACAGTTAGCACAGCACCTTTTAAAAAACTGTCCATAATTTGAGTCCTACACTGGCTGAACAGTCTGAATAAACTGACACATAGAAAAGTAATGAAGAAGTGGACATGGAACTGTTGGAGCGGGTCCAAAGGAGGGCTACAAAAATGATCCGAGGGCTGGAGCACCTCTCCTATGAGGACAGGCTGAGAGAGTTGGGCTTGTTCAGCCTGGAGAAGAGAAGGCTGCGGGGAGACCTGATTGCAGCCTTTCAGTACTTAAAGGGAGCCTATAGGAAAGATGGGGACAACCTGTTTAGTAGAGACAGCAGTGACAGGACGAGGGGTAATGGTTTTAAACTAAAACAGGGTAGGTTTAGGCTGGATATAAGGAAGAAATTCTTTACAATGAGGGTGGTGAAACACTGGAATGGGTTGCCCAGAGAGGTAGTGGAGGCCCCATCCCTGGAAACATTCAAGACCAGGCTGGACAGGGCTCTGAGCAACCTGATCTAGTTAGTGGTGTCCCTGCTCGCTGCGGGGGGGTTGGACTAGATGACCTCTAGGGGTCCCTTCCGACCCAAAACTTTCTATGATTCTATGATCACATTGTAGAGCAAAACTCGGAAAACTATTTCCCAAAGATATTATTTTGAAGAATCATCACACAGTAGTGCTGGTAGCTTTTAAGCCTCTCTGCATTTGTGATGCACACACAACGCTAGTCAGCTTCAACTGCTTGATTCGCCTTTGTCCTCTAGGTTTCTTTTGGCAGACCACCACTGACAAATAATTTACATAGATTTTTCTATTGCAGATCACACTGAGGCCTCTTTAGATGTAATTAAAACTCTTTGAAGTTTAGAGAAGTGTTTTTTCATACTAAAGATATTGCCCATTTTGTGTTATATTGATTAATTCTTTCCCACATTTTCAAACAAATACTGTGGTCTTTGCTACTACAACTCAAGAAACTTCACTTGTAAGTGGATACATATGAAGCAATTGCATATAAGAAGAATAAGGTAAGAACCACTATTTACAGTTTTAACTTTAAAATGAACCTCATTTTCATGTGACCATTACATCTTAGAAACACAGAAGAACCATTAATACTTCAAGCTGAGATTACATAAAACACGACATCCAAAGAGTAACAGCCAATAACTCATAAAACAAAAAGCAGACTGCTTCAGAAAGAATTTAACAGATGTATAGAATACTCACATGGAATACTCAGATATAACATCATTTACACAAAGCACTGAAGTAGCCAAGATTTGCAGCTTTGCAGAAGTTACAAGCAGGCAAAACGGCAAAGAATTCTAAGTAATGGACAGATCTGCCAGCAACTGATTCGGTATTTACACATTTTAAATTTATATATACTTTCTTACTGTACATATTTTCTCTAAGCCTTTCTGTCCCAGTCTATCTGAAAATCAATGTGTGATGACTGAAGTGAATTTGTATAAAAGCCTGAAAACAAAAGTGTTTAACAGATGTTAGGCAGCCTGGAGGCATGAGGAAGGGGTAGCCAAAGCCAGCAAGGGAAACAGTAAGTGAAATGTGAACGGGTAGCAAACGACCTAATGACTTATTTTCTAAATTTCTACAGCCCTGTCTATGGACTATGAAGCCTAGAGACTAAATCATATTTCCACAACAAAAACATAGTTAACTGTAGCTATGCACAGATAGTATAAAATGAATATTTTAATTTTTTTCATTTCTTCTAAGGAAGAGCCCCTCTTCTACAGACAAAACCTCATAGTTGTTGCCAGTGCAGTCACTAAGTCTGATATATCCATATTTGCATTAAGAAAAATCCACTGAAGAACCTTTCAGATAAAAACAAAATTAAATAATGAATAATCTCAAACTTGTGTTGTTTTACAACCAAATTATTATTCTTTCCATATCAATTTCTTTAAACAATACGTATACACACTATTTTTAAGATCTCCAGCAGCCCTAGACTGATTTTCACTGTTTATAAAATTGTTATTTGAAAAAGATTTCTCTGTTAACCTCCAAACAAGTTTGTCTAATGTGTACAGCTATAACAAACTATGGCACTCATGATGAATAAGAGGAGAAATGGGCCATCAACAGGAAACTGGATGTTTTTGGTACCTGAACTGAGCAAGAGCCCGTCAGCTATAAAATATCAGTATGTTTTGCAGTCAGCAGATGAAAATGATCACCCTCCAACACACGTGCATGCATGGAGCTACTACGTTAGAGCAAGAATTCAAAATTCCCATCCAAACTGAATGAATCTCAGATGTTCATGAGAACCCACTACCAGGACTCCTTCAGCTTGCTGACTTGCACTGTCTGCATGGTAGAAGTCCATGGAAGAAATACTTTATTTCTTACTTAGAGAAAAGATTGAGGTTTTTTAAAATGCACAGACTGAATATGCAGCCTTTGTTAATGTAAGACAAACGGGCTAAATTTCAGTTGCACAGCATTGCTGTAGAGCTTATGATGAAACAAGCACTTTCAAAACATACCTATTTACTGAAGCGCTATGTACTTTGAAGAGATTATATTGTACTTCATTTACTAACAGTACATTACTTCATCATCAGTACCACAACATAAACATTACCTACTGCAAACAAAGGTTTCTAAAAATTTTTTCAGCAGTATCTTACAAAGCTCAACAGAACAGGTCCCCCATTTCTTTCCTCTTGTCTGAGAACACCTCAACAAAGTGTGGTTTTTGCTAAATACGAAACAGTACTTCAGTTAGCAAAGCAAGTGAACTATCAAGAGTTCTTCACACAAAGCAGAGAAAGAACTAATTCTCTTGAGGCAACAAAGAGTGGATTATTTCTCTATAGTCGCAGCCCATCACCTTCACAACAAGACATGAAGTTCTCATATCATTGGAGGAGAAGGGGAAAAAAGTTTGCTGTAAAGAAAGAGAAGAACAATCCTTTTAAACGTGAACATTGATTTGTAAAAGCCTAGATCCCTCCTTTGCACAGATTTTTAGCTGAGGGACTCTGTTATGACCTTATGGTCAGAATTCCAGTATTACTGCAATAATAAACTTAAACTTCAGAAAGATGTCAACTTTTGTCCCAAAGAATTCTGATTTTATTTTTTCAAAATTTAGATTTCTATGAAGTTAATTAAATTTTGGTGGGTGACAAATTAATAACTTTCAATAGTTCATTATATTTCTTCATGCAATAAATCAATACAGCAGTCTAAAATAAAATACAAAAAGTTTAATATTTGCACCGAATATCTATCACTTATGCATGTAATTATATTTCCTCCAATAATTTATACACTTCAAGTAATCTAAAACTCTTTATGCTTTATAAAATCCTATTAGAAACCCATTTCAACTTTTAAGAGCAGCAAGTAAGGCCATGGGCTGCTTTGTTCTACAGTTCTGATTTCCATTAACCTCAAAAGAACCAGGATCAGTGATCTCCAGTTTCAGCGTG